CCGCACGATTGGATCTTGCTATACAACATTCTTCTCTCCAACCAGAGAGAATATGAACCAATTCTTTCTCATCTTAAAAGAATGTTGGCTTCCTACGTCCATGAGCTCATCACTATGGATCAGGAAATAGCAAAAGTGATGAACAAGAAACCAACTGTCAAGCCCACTTCGAAGACCGGAGATGTTCATAAAATGAAGTTGGGGAAAATTGATTCTTCCAATCTGACGGTTATGTTCACCAGGGGCGACAAGCATAAGTTTCTGTTTGCTTTGGTAGACAAGCATCTGTTCTCTACAGAGTGTCTGGAGCACATCATCAATATCATTCACCGATGCAAACAGAACTCAACAGCAGACAAGAAGAACTTTACAGATATGCTTCGTTGGTATATTACCTTCAGGCATCATATTCTAGCTTTGATACCGAAAATTTTTGAAACGGTAAAGAAGCCCTCTGCTTTGAAAAGAGAGTGAAGGTCTCGCCCCAAATTGACGCAAAGGGGGAGATTATTGGGCTTTGAAGATTGCGTCTTTTGGGCTCATCTGATTATGCTATTTTGTATTCCGGTTTGGGCCTGTCCAACCGTGAGCCTTTTATGTTTTGTATATAAGTTTACGCTTGCATGCATATTAGGTTAAGGTTTTGAGATCTGAGAATAGCGAGACATCTAGACGACAACAGGTTTCTTTGATCGTTCTTGTAACCTTCCAATCCTCTACAGTTGATGTTCTTAATCGAGCTCTTCTGAGGATTTTGTTTAATAATTCGACACGTTTGATTCTATCTTGTCTTGTTCTTATTATTGTGTTTTTTTTATCGTCTTTCTTTACTTACTTGTTCAAGATCTAATCGATCTTCATAGATTAAAAGATTGTTAAATCTCATCAATAAAAATACTCTATTATAAACTACAAATTGATTTTTTTTTTTTTTTAATTTCAACATAAAATCATTTTATTATATGCTGTCAAATGAATATTTATGAGATAGTGTTTATATTTTTTAGAATTTCTAGCATAAATTTTCATTGTTCAACTATCACGAAAATGCATTGAGATATGTATATTTTCTATATCAATGTCTCATATATATGCTCACATGGTAAATAAGAAATTCATCTTAAAAGTTGTAAAAGTTGCAAAAATATTGGTATTATAACATGTGAGATGTACAAGTTGCAAAAATATATAAATGTTGCTAAAAAGCTCAATAAATAGCAATGTACTTTTGGTGACTAAAAACTCCACCTATTAGTGGTAAAACTAATTAAACCTTGCGAATGTATCCCGGAACTTGAATACGTTTTATATTGAAAATTTAGCAATGAGGTTATGAGTCTTTTATCACCTACTATGTATATGTACACGAGGTTGTGAGACAAATAGCAACCTATTTTTTTTAATTATTTAAGATAGACAAAATTACAAAAATGGTCCCTATGGTTTGCCAAAAGTCATAAAGTCAGTCCCTGCTAATTTTTTTTGACGAACATGGTCCCTGTGGTTTCCAAAACTTGCATCAATGGCCCTTTTTGCTGACGCCGTTACTGTTCATCCGTTAGTGTAAGGGTATTTTGGTCTTTTCAAGTAGCAGGGACTGAGTTTGTGACTATGTGTAAACCATAGGGACCATTTATGTATTTTTTCTATATTTTATGTTTATGAGTTTGTAATTTTTCCATCCATTTACTTTTTAAAATATCATTTTGAACCCTTCACTTTGAACTTTGAAAATGTTACTTTTACCCCTCTATTTTCTAAATTTTTGTGTTTAACCCCGTATTATATATAATTTGTTTTTTTATTAATAACTTTTGTTCGCTAACCTAAAAAAACTATTTTCACGTGTTTATTTTCATATATTTGTCGGTATAGTTCAAGGTGATCAACGTATTGATTATAATTTAGAACTTTCTTTCGTTATTTTTTTTTTAAAGTTACATGGTTTTGTTTTTTAAATTGTCGGTTTAAATTCAAGCTTATTTTTCAACATAGTTTTTTTTTTAAACTTTATGTACGTTTCCTACGTATGAGACGGGTCATATATAATAACTTTCGTTTGTTAATTTTAAAAAGTATATTGTATTTGAGATTGTCTATGTTTTGATGTATTTTTTATACATTTTGTGCTTAATTTTATATACATTTCTACGTATCATTCAGATCATATATAATAACTTTCGTTTGTTAGCTTAAAAAAATGTAGTATATTCGAGTTTGTTTATGTTTCGACCTAACTCTTGTTTCATGTTTTTTACGTATCAATATAGATTCGAGTTCGTCTATATTTCGACGTAATTTTTTTATGTTCCGTGCTTATTTTTATGTACGTGTTTTTTTCATTCATGTTTTTTTTATCTTGAAATGCAACTTTTATGACTATAATCAACAAAATTCAACTTACAAAATTCAAGCTTATAATTACGCTTTTATCTATTATATGTGAACAAACTTATACGTAGAAATATACATAAAATAAGCACCAAAACGTACAAAAAAAATTAAATCAAAACATAAAAAAATAAAGAAAAAGAAAAACTCAAATTTATATCAGCACGTGCATAAAAATAAGTAAGATTTTTTTAAGTTAACGAACGAAAGTTTAAATAATAAAAAATATATAATATGTGACCCTAATCATAAGTAGGAAACGTACAGAAAATAAAGCACGAAAATGTTAAAAAAATATGTTTCGCAAAACGTTTTGGTGCTTATTTTATGTATGTTTCTACGTATAAGTTTGTTTACATATAATAGATAAAAGCGTAATTATAAGCTTTAATTTTGTAAGTTGAATTTTGGTGATTATAGTCATTAAAGTTGCATTTCGACGTAAAAAAACATGAATAAAAAAAACACGTACATAAAAATAAGCACGAAACATAAAAAAATTACGTCGAAATATAGACGAACTCGAATCTATATTGATATGTAAAAAACATGAAACAAAAGTTAGGTCGAAACATGGACAAACTCGAATATACTACATTTTTTTAAGCTAACAAACGAAAGTTATTATATATGACCCAAATGATATGTAGGAATGTATATAAAATTAAGTACAAAATGTATACAAAATACATCAAAACATAGACAATCTCGAATATAATACATTTTTTAAAATTAACAAACGAAAGTTATTATATATGACCCGTCTCATACGTAGGAAACGTACATAAAGTAAAAAAAAAATAAAAAAAAAATAAAAAAAAAAAGGTCGAAAAATAAGCTCGAATTTAAACCGACAATTTTATAAAAAAAAACCATGTTACTTTAAAAAAAATAACGAAAGAAAGTTCTAAATTATAGTCGAAACGTTAATCACCTAGAATTATACTGATAAATATATGAAAATAAAGGCGTAAAAATAGTTTTTTTAGGTTAGTGAACAAAAGTTATTAATAAAGAACAAATTATATATAATACGGGGTTAAACACGAACATTTAGAAAATAAAGGGGTGAAAGTAACATTTTTCAAAGTTCAAAGTGAATGGTTCAAAGTGATATTTTAAAAAGCAAATGAGTGGAAAAGTCACAAACTCATAAAGATAATATATATAAAAAAACAAAACATAAATGGTCGCTATGGTTTACCCAGAATCACAAACCCAATCCCTGCTATTTGAAAAGACCAAAATACCCTTACACTAACGGATGAACAGTAACGACGTCAGCAAAAAGGGTCATTGATGCAAGTTTTGGAAACCACAGGGACCATATTCATCAAAAAAAATTAGTAGTGACTGATTTTGTGACTTTTGGCAAACCATAAGGACCATTTTTGTAATTTTCTCTTTAAGATAAAACAGTAACTTACATTATTTAACCTAAAACAAAGGCATATTATTGTTTTTAACCTAAAATAGCAACGTTCTTAACAATTAACTTATAACAGAAACACTTTCATATTTAACCTATAATAGCAACATACATTTGTAAACAATTTAACAAAGTGTTATATTTAACCGGAAAAATACAACATGTTTTCCTTTTTAAGCTAAATTACCAACATTTATGTTTATCCCGACAGCATATCGAAAGAAAATTCATTGCCATCGAAAAAATTTCACCAAACGAAATTATGAGCCGCCGCCGCATCGCGCGGGTACGCTACTAGTATATATATATATATATATATATATATATATATATATATATATATATATATATATATATATATATATATATATATATATATATATATATATATATATGCAAAAGATCGAACTCGTATTTGGTAACATTTGTCGCAAAAAGCATAATCCTTTTTTCCTATTTTTTCTACAATAATATTTTGTTTTGTAATGAATAAATTTGGTATGATTAGGGGTGACAATTGTTGACACGATATGATAAAAATAAACGACACGAAATGAAATTGGCATGAAATTGAAATTTGAATTCGTGTCCGTGTCAACTGTAAAAAAAAACACGATGTCGTGTCGTGTCGTGTTATTGTTCAAAATTCGATACGAAATTAACACGATTTAACATTTATTTGTCGTGTTTTTCGTGTTTGTCGTATTATGTATGATTAAATATTAATTAAATAAACTAATTGTTATATTATGCTATCTTTATCCTGTCGGGATGTGTTTGTTGTTTTTTATTTGGTTCGTTTTCGTATTGGTTAAAAAAACACAACATTGTGTCGTGTTACAAAAAACCTTGTCGTGTCGTGTCAGGCAGAATCACCACACGATGACCTGATATGTGACCCTAAGTATCATGGTGGAAAAGCCAATAATTAGCACATAGCATTCTATTCAAGGCAGTGCGCATACAGCTAGATGAAAGTATAAGGAGGAAAATTGTAACTTAACCCAGAATACAAGCAGTCTCTTTTTGCTCTTAGCTTTCAAAAACACAATTCCAAAAACATGAAATCATTGTGAGCCTATTTTTATATCTAATAGTAAATAGGTCCCACAATAATATCATTGGTATGTAAACCAAGCTAAGATATATTATGTTAGGTATTCCAAAATCCAAACGAAAATTATGACCAAGAAAAATCCTTAACCCAATTATACTCGTCGTTGCTAAAATAGAAACCATCTTCTCTAACCAACCACAAACATTTCCTGGAAACTCCACACCTCGATCTGTCTCGGTGTATCTGAAAGGCTTTAAACTTCTTCCTTATTTGATCCCATTTCATAGTACAAGAGAAAGCAGGCGTCGATGTCCAAAAACTATGTCTGGTGTTCCAACTGAAGTCGTCTCCTTCTTGGAGTGCTCGACCACCTATATCACCATCTTGTGAGGCACACCATATGATGAGTGGGAGAGAGGAGTTGTTTGTGAAGCCATTAACAACACGAACATGGTACCTAATACCATGGATGGAGAAATATTCAGGCTGGTGGTGTTTCATGGCCATGAACACCATGTATGAAGCTAATATGAAAAAAAGAACGATTTGCCAATTTTTCATGGCCTTGAATCTATATGTGTGTATCTTGGATCTCCCTTAAGAGTGTAGTGATGACTGAGAGGTATATATATAGGAGGAGGAGATGGGACTGCATAAAAAAGATAAGATAGAAAAAAATAGTAGTTTGTCATGTTAATGTAATGGCATTACTTTTGTCTTCTAAAAAGAGTTTAATTATTACGAAATCCTTTTATCAAATAAGTGTGTAATATAATAATAATAATAATAATAATAATAATAATAATAACCGTAACAATAATAATAATTTACATCCCGATTGGTTTTATAGATAGCTTCATCTATATATATATATATATATATATATATATATATATATATATATATATATATATATATATATATATATATATATATATATATATATATATATATATATATATATTTCAATCCCGATTGACGTACTTAATTGAACAAACAAAGAATTTCATGCTCAACGGTATCTGGTATTACTTTCAGTGTGGATATAAGTGGAAGAAAGAATGTGTTGGGGACTTCATATTTTATAGAAAAAGAAAAGAAAAAGAAAAACACCAAGGTGTGAATGTAATTAAGAAATTAACTTAAAAAGGATATTTAATTTCTTTAACTATTAATATGATATATAGGAAAAAGTATTTAGTGTTATAAATGTAAACAGACATGGTAAGAAATTAAATAGGTATATATATATGATTTCAAATAATTACGAAATAAATTAAATTGCTTATAAATGATAAAATAGATTTCTATTTACATATGTTTTTATATAATTGGAGTTTGTTAAACACTTGAGTATCGTATATTTTCAAATAGTCATGTCATTCAATATGTTTATCATGTGACTTTAAAATGACTATTTCATAATTAATCAATTGGTTGTGAGGTCCTTATAAATACGAGTTGATTAAAACAGAAAAGTCAGAAGATCTAAACATTAAATATTTTTTTTTATTAAAATTTCAAAATAAATATAATATAAATGATCAATACGTAAGTAATTCAATTAAGTAATAAGATAAATTTTTTGTCATATAAAATGAAATTATAGATTACAGATATATAATATACTCGTATAATATAATAACATCTACTAGCGGTTTGTTGAATTTTAAAAAATTAAATACGACAAATATCATACAAAAAGTTAGTAAATATCAGTAATATCATAGCAAAATATATGTAGATATTATTAATACAACACTAATCATTCATGAAATAGTTTTTATTAACAAAAAAACTTCTTCAAAATGTTAAAATTTAATCATTTTCTACTTTTTCGTTCATTTTGTAGGTAATGATTAATTGTTGGATGCTTTCTAGTCAGTCGAGTAGCCCCTGTGTATTAATCGGGATTTTACAACACTGAAATAACAAGAGTTGAGTGGAAGGACTAAAAGTGTAATTTGAGAAAGAGTGACTCGGCGAGTCCATGGATGGACTCGGCGAGTAGAGTCGCGACTTGGTCGCGTGTTAAATAGCTGGCTCAGCGAGTCAATAAGATGGACGCGACGAGTAGGCGCTGAGTGGAGAAAACCCTAATTCTCGGGGTTGAGCCCTATATAAAGAGCATCATGTTTCCTCCCCAGCCTTTTTATCACCCCCTTGAGTCCCAGAAACCCTAAAATCGTGGAGAAGCACCATTGTTGAGTGGATTGGAGCTTGGAGAGGTAACTGTTGAAGAAAGTTTGGAAAATTGAAGGTGTGGAGCAAGGGGCTTTGCTTGGATTCGAGTTCCTTGCAGATTGGGGCGTTCCTTTGAGGTAATATCTCGTTCTTAGGCTGTTGTTCTCTTGTCTCTTCATTTTGGGGTTTGAAGGGAAGCTTATCTTGGGTGATATTGGAATCTAGAGGTTAGATCTGAGGTTGCTACCTCAGATCTGGAATAGAGGAGAGTTGGAATGCAGGAAAGTCCCTGTGTTGAGTGTTGGATGAAGCTATCTTGTCCCAAACCTTAGCCCTAATGTGCATAATGCATAGATCTCTTTGGATTCATGTAAAGATTGCCACTTTACGTGATGGATGAGTTGTAGGAGGCTAGATCTATGTTTTGGATCAATTGCATGGTCTGGAACGCTTCTGTTTGGATGCAGACCGGTTGTACTCGGTGAGTCACATGGGTGGACTCGACGAGTTGCTTGAAGATAAGCTGGAACTCGACGAGTTGGATGAACAACTCAGCGAGTAGATTGAAGATAGCCTTAGACACGGTGAGTCTGTTCTTGGACACGGTGAGTCTTGTCGAAGAGTCCAAATATTTTCTGGTTGAGTCGAGAACTGGCGAGTCAAGGGATGACTCGGTGAGTTATGTGCGAGTGGACTCAGAGTTGTTGGACTTGGCGAGTCTCGGGGTGACTCAGTGAGTTAGGTCGCGGGTTGAGTGAAGTTTGAGTATGGGAACTCGGCGAGTCATAGGGTTGACTCGGCGAGTAGGGCCAGTCAGGGGTTGACTTTGACCTAGTATTTGACCAAGGGTTGACCAGTGGTTTCCAGCGGTATTTTGGTAATTGTTGATTATGATTTTGAGTTCAGTGCATTGGTGGTTGTCTAGTGGTGGAGATCGTATCAGTGATCAGAGCAGCTTGGGTTATCTGTTCAGTCGGCAGTTTCGAGGTGAGTTATCCTCACTATATCTATAGGGTTCAAGGCACCAAGGCCGACCCTTTTATCGGATGGAAATCCGGGTAATTGTATGTTGTATGATATTGTGGGATATGGGCCGGAAGGCATTATATGTTGTGGGCCGGAAGGCATTACATGTTGCGGGCCGGAAGGCAATGCGATGTGGACCGGAAGGTCATGGCCTGGAAAGGCGTATGTGCATAATTATTATGTTGACTGAGTCGTAGGGTGATGTTATGCTAGTGATCGGCTAGGCTGGTATCTTGATTAGGGTAATGATATGCTATGTGATCTGTTGATCGATTTGCTAACTGTGAACTGTTATATGATTACATGTTATGTGCATGGTTGTCTGGTCTGGAGTGTAACCCGGTATGCATGGTTGTTCTATGTTCTATCATGATATGTATGCTTTTATGTTGTGGGCCGGAAGGCGAAATGTTATGGGCCGGAAGGCAATGTGTTATGGGCCGGAAGGCATTACACTATGGGCCGGAAGGCGATATGTTTTGGACCGGAAGGTTGTGGCCTGGAAGGGCGTATATGTGGTTGGTATTTTGGGGATATCTCACTAAGCTTTCGGGCTTACAGTTGTGGTTTTTAGGTTTTCAGGTTCTCAAGAGTCTGTGGCAAGGCAAAGGCGTGATCGTACCGTTCCTTGCGTTGGTGTTTTATGAAATGGACCTGGGAAATACTCTGTTAAATAATGTATTGAAAACCTTTTTGTAATAACGTTATTAAAATGGGTTGTTTTGGAAAAGTTTAATTGTTTCGGAATTTCGGTCGTTACAATATGTTTATAGACCTACTCGACGTGTTGGTTGCCTCAACTCGTTGTGTAGAGGCGGGTTAGCCCGCGTGGATTATTGGACATACTCGACGAGTCGGAGGACCCAGACTCGACGAGTAGGAGCTGGAAGGTAAAACCATAATTTTTAGGGTTTACACCATATTTAAAGGAACTTAAGTCCTTACCTTCAGACCCTTACCACCTCTTGACGGCCAGAAGAAACCCTGGTCACTCTCGACCTTGTTCTTGAGTGTTTGTGAGATTTAAAGTGTGATTTTGGTGCATTTTGTGAAGAAGGTTTGGATTTTAAGGAGATTGGAGCAAAGAAGAGCTTGTGAATCTATCTCTACCTCATATTGGCATCATTTTGAAGGTAACAAGTCATTGCCTTGACTTCTCTTTAGATATATCTCTCCATGCTTGAGTTTAGGGCCACTTTTAGCATATATGTGAGCCATTTCGGGTATTGGTCATGATCTAAAGTTGTAACTCCAGATATGGACTACTCCAGGTCACAAGTTCATAAAGTTATCAACTTTATCTCATATTGACGTCTCACCATGCCCTAAACATCATTCTAGACTTAGTTTTGGTGTTCTAAGCCTTTAAGACCTTACATACATGTAAAGTTTGCAACTTTATGTGGAATATGTGCCTTAGGAAGCTGGAACTACAACTTGGAGTTTTTGAGTAGCTTAAAAGCATCTTAATGGAAAATGGACTGAAGGGACTCGACGAGTTGCATGGTCAACTCGGCGAGTCCGATGATGATTAGTTGTTGTTGGTTTCTACATGAACTCGACGATTCAGCAAGACGAGTCGACAATTCAATTAGGGTTTTCTGAAAATTTAGACACACATGGACTTAACGAGTTTTCTGGAAACTCGGCGAGTCAACTAGGGTTTTCATGGTTTCTCGAGTTCTTGAAGGACTCGACGATTCTATGAGCTGCACTCGACGAGTTGGGTCAACATGGACTGTTGACCTTGACCGTTGACTTTGACTTCGACCGGGAGTGGACCAAGGTTGACTTCTAGGGGTATTTTGGTAATTTAGGAATTTATGTGGTTGGATTATTGGTGGATGTTGATGTTGGAGTTGGAGTTGTATTTGGAGGAGTTTGATACTATCATTCCGAGCTACTTGAGAGGTGAGTTTTCCTCACTATACTAACAGGGTCGAAGGCACCAATGTCGACCCTTTTCGGAATTGTATCCAGGTTTATTACACAATATGTTTTATGATTTGTATCCTGGTTATAGGATGCTTGATATGTTAGCGATCGATTAGATCGGTATCCTAGTTATAGGATGGTTGTTATGTTAGTGATCTGTAGACCCGTATGATTATCTGTACATCCTAGCTTGTGTATGTTATTTATGTTAACATGCTTGTTACTTTGGGGGTTGGGTTGAGGCAGGTGCTTTGTGTTGTAGGCCAAGATTCCCAAGGCGGACCGGATAGACTGCAGACCCGGTTAGGGTATACTAGTCAGGTCGAAGGCTTGGCAAGCGGTACGAATAGGCTGTAGGCCCT